AAATAAATCCCTAAACTCTTACTTTTTTTCTTTAAACCCCTAAACTAATTTTTTAATCAAAATAAATACATAGTTTTGTGTGATGTGACAACATCTTATTGGCCGAAAAATATTTTTCTAACTGGAAAAATAATTAAATGATCATCGAGACAGTTTTGCTTGCATGTATATGGTCAGGTCCTTGTTTCTTCCAAGCCTAATCGAAGTGAGGGTTGTTATATCAACACTGGATGTTATCAACTCTGCTTAAATAAATTACACTTGTTGTACCCCTGGAAGAACAGAGATTTCGTAATGGTTTAAACTATTCCTTGCTCGCAAGTTGTTGCAGTGCAAAAGGCAAAATCATGAAATGCAATGAAAACACAGCCATGAATTACAATCTTTATGAAGAATTACTGAAAGAAACTTCAGAAACTAAGCAAGCAGCTTCTTACCGAGCCGACTTGATTTGCACATGGCTTCCAATGGTTCAACCTTAGGCATGGTGAACCCTTGCCCTTCGGCCATGTCGATTGCCTTCTCACTCACCCTTTCCCACTCAAAACATTGAATCAATGCCCCCAATGTCGACCCCAGCACATGTTGGGCTAACACCATTCCTGGGCAAGCTCTTCTTCCCAACCCGAACGGCATTAACTTATATATCAGATCACTCGTTTCTTTGCCCTGTTCGAACCTCTCTGGCTTAAAACTTGTCGGATCATCCCATAACTTAGGTCCCTCTGTATAGCCCAAGCATTCACCATCAAAATTGCATATTTGGGTATTTTGTAGCCTTCCATCTTGCAAATCTCAGATGCCGAATGAAAAACTAACAGTGGAGCATTGCAAGTAAGGTAATTTTGCGACATCGGCTTCTTCCACCAGTTTTTCTTGACCAATATGTTTGTCAAGTTCAGCTCTAGCTTTTGCCAACACTTGAGGATTGTTTAGCGGATTGGAGAATGCCCATTCCAATGTTAGTGCTGTAGTATCAGTTCCAGCATTTAAAATGGCCTGAAAATGAAATTCATAAGATACGAATTTGTTTAATATAAGCATTTTTTTTACAATCAAAGCAGACTCAAATTTGGGAGTGTGTGAAGTGATTAGTATCATGTCAGCCAAACATAAATTTACAAAAATATTTGTTACTGAACTAGTTAACATTAGCTTGTTAATTATTGTATTATATTTTTTATTTAAGCAAATGTTGTTTTAATTATGAGGTAATTCTTTTAGTTTATTTTTCTCTTAAAGTTACTTAAAACATCTAGTGTCTTATAATGTATTTTCAATTAATTATCTATAGTATTTAATTTATTTTAACATTATATTTCACTATTTTTCCCATTAAACATAATTGAAATTTTATTTCCATGATCCCTTTCCATACATTTTATTTTGACTCAACCAATCACCGAAGTTCAATTATTCAATCACTTAGGGTGCGTTTGGTTCACGGAATGTAAGATTACCAGTGGGAATAAAAGATTACTAGGGAATAGGATTACTGGGAATGTTGTATTTTGTGTTTGGTTGGTTTAGCAGGAATGTAAGATTATCGTATTTGGTTAAATGAAAAAAAGATTATTGGAATGTATATTTGACCAAATTTTCCTTATTATATATTTGTATAATATTACAAATGGTAAAATATTTATATATTTTCTTTAAAAAATTAAATTCATAATATTTATATAATTTTTTTAAAAAATTAAAAATATAAAAAAGGTTTAATGAAAGGGTAAATTTTTTTTAATCTCTGAACTTCATATAAAATTTTAATTATAGACTTTTTTTGTAAATCTAAAATAATTTAAGGATAAATTTGTAATTTAACTTTCGTAGAATTTTTATTATTCAATGACCAAAGAATGATATTTTTGAAAAAAAAATTAAAAATTTAAGGGTATTTTAGTCCAAAACGCCGGTAATGTTACAATACCTAAGGGAAGAGAGGTAATGTCATTCCCGATAATATACCCCAAAAAATCTATTATTGGTAATAAAATATTACCGGGAATGAGATTTCCGGCCAACCAAACATGGGAATGTGAGATTCCCATCCCATGAGAATCCTACAATCCTTGAACCAAACACCCCCTTAGTCCAATGATTTTCGGATCCTGGAAAAGCAATAAAAAGTCTAAAATAACGAACTTGAGATGGGACCGTGTTGTTGTGAGAGGGAAGAGAGTGTTCGATGGAGGGGTTCTTTGAGGAGATGGAGGTGGCCCAGAATGGGAAGAGCCAACGGCCACGGTGGTAGATTTCTGCGTCTTGAGATGATTAACTCGGTGGCCAGCCATATAAAAAGTAATGCTGAAAGCAACGATTATATCAAGATTGGTTCCATCTTAATTTGCCCAACACTAGGATTTTGCTGAAAATATCAAGGCTTTTCTCTGGTATATCAAGCGGATTGATGCCGTAAATCATTTTTTTTCTCCAAAGAAAATGACGCCAAGAACTTGCCCAAAGGATAAAAACTCTATTGCCATTTGCCATGTCATGTTCACCAACGCCGTCTGTGCTTTGAATGTGTCAGCCGTAAAAGACAATTTTCGTCCATCATTTCAACATGCCCTCCCCCGATGGATATGGTCGGATTTTTTGTTCATCCGACCCGAGAATAAATAATTCTTCATTTGAGATCCGACTTGATTGGACTAAATTAAGATCCGACCCCGACTCGATATATAACTTAAAAATCAAATTTGATCAGACCCGACTCGAAATAATAATAAAAATATTATTTTTATTTAATAAAACAATATAACTTGCTAATTATTGGTGAATATTTTCGAGATAAGTATAACTTGCTAGGTTAATGTTATACACATCAGTAGTAACTCTACAACATTGTTAATTGGATATTACTTTTTGACATCCTACAATCCTTTGCCTAAATCGATCATTGCTTCATTACTTGTGATGTAATCCCATTCATTTTATTATGTTTTCCATTACATTCCTACAACATTGTTTCGTACGTCAACAATACATAATTTTACATTTGCTCAATAACAATTCTATAAAGTAATACTAATTTTTATGGATCCGATACTCGACGCACTTGTTGCGTTCATTTTTACTACTTGATAAATGATAGTGTATGCTTGCACTTTTTTTATTACATTATTTGAAGCATCAACTATCCTCTTCTATTTTTGTTATTATTACATCAGAGACTGATAGTTGAGCTAGCTGTCAATTTTTGTCTTCAATGGAGGGATTTCCTGATCGTTGATGAACATTTTTGGACGTTGCACAATTGCTCCCTTGTTCCAAAGTAGTATATTTGGCAAAAGACTTTCTATTGCCCATACCCCCTCTAGTAGGGTTCGTGCTCCCACCCCCTTCTTCCTCGCGTATATACAAATTCCCTCTTTGACGTGGAGGGCAAAGCCCTACGAACTATGTGCCAACTATCTTCGTATAACCTTGAATGTCATATGATTAGCGACTTTGCTAATTTTTATTGGGAATGTTTTTTTAATAAAATTATAAAACTTAAGATTTTTTATTAAATAAAAAGATAAAAATGAAATTATCAATTAAAATTGATATTTTTTTAAAAATCAAAGAATTTAAAACTTAAGATTTTTTTATTGAGAAAATAATCTCAGTGACCGAAAATGCCTTATAATATACGATTTTAATCAACTTTTTTTGGATTTGCCAAAATGACCAACAAATTCACAACGCGAACTCTTATTTCGCAACCCAGTTTCCAATTTCGCAACGCGAATCTGTAAATCGCAACGCGTATTTGTAAATCGCAACACAGAAGTCAAATTCGTAACGCGATAGTCAAATTCGCAACACAAAAGTCAAATTCGCAATATAAAAGTCAAATTCGCAACGCGAACAGTAAAAATCGCAACATGAATAGTAAAATCGCAATGTGAATAGTAAAAATCGCAACGTGAATAGTAAAATTGCAACGAATCCATATGTAAATTATCTCTTATCATCTATCTATAATAATTTGTTGGAAAAGTACATAAATAATTTTTATTAAAAATATTCGTACAAGTGAAAAAATTTATACGTAAATGAACAACAAATCTATTTCATTTGTCAATCTTCATTACAAATTATTCTAAATTCAATTAATTAAAGTTTGAAATTTGAAAAAATCCTTAACTCAGACTAATGAAATACATTTAAAAAATTAAATTTTGAATTATATTAAGAAAAAGCTGATTCCTGTATACATGTAGATAAGTTTTATTTTTCACTTAAAATCCCAGTATAGAAGTAGAGAGTTACCATTTCAAATTCGCAACGCGATTTTGCGATTTTCTAAATTCGCGTTGCGATTTTTTAATTCGCATTGCGATTTTTTAATTCGCGTTGCGATTTTCTAATTCGGGTTGTGATTTTACTATTCACGTTGCGATTTTTACTATTCACACTGCGATTTTGGAAACTGAGTTGCGAAATTGGAGTTCGCGTTGCGAATTCGAGTTTTCGTTGCGATTTTGTTGGTCATTTTGGCAAATCCAAAAAAAATTAGTTAAAATCATATATTATAAGACATTTTCGGTCACTGAGGTTATTTTTTTTTTTTTATTTTATGAAAATAAAATAAATTTTTTTTTTATTTTTGTGTTTGCTTCCTTAAAATCAAAATAAAGAAAGAAGATGACTAATGTCACATATTACATATTTGTTAGAAAATCTTTTTAATAGAGAATATCAACTAATGTAATTATAGACGATTATTTTAATAAAAATTTAAACACTAAGCATATAATTAATTATTTGAAAAACAAAAAAATTGCAATTCCTATACTTTGAATAATTAACGCTGACGGATTCGGATATAACGCAGACACATGACATTCCTTTTCTAATTTCATTTCTAATTTCAATTTGAAAAATAAAGAAAAAGAAGCATCGAGAAGGAAAATGAAATTAAGTATATATGAATATTCTTGGTTTTGTTGGATATTTACAGATTTATGTAGGATTACTCCAATCGCAAAAATATAATTAAAATGAATTCCCAAGTTCAAGTCAGACTATTCATAAAAAACGAAGAGAATCCGCCAATCTCCCAACTAAGCAACGAAAGCAATGCAATTAAATAATAAAACATTAGCCAATGCCCAAAAAAATACTGGAAAAAAGGGAAAATTTTGCCCGAAGACCCAGCAACAGAATAGCGAAATCTGGGATTTGTTTATTTATTTTCTTGGAAAGGTTAGCGGACCACGAAAGGGGGAAAACCCAGAATTCAAAAGCTGCGTTAAGGTACCATTCCTTTTTTCTTTCCTTCCTTGGCTTTGGAAACTTTCTCTTTGTTTCCTGGGTTTAATTATCTGTTTACTTCTTTCGAGTTAGGTATTTTTGGAATAATAACGAAACCCATTTGATCTAATTACTTTCTTTATGATCATGTTGTTTTATTGCATGAATTTGAAAGGTTACGTGCTTTTTTGGATAACTGATATTTTAAGGAACGATATGGATTTTAGGGTTAATTTTTATTTCTTTGTGATACTTGCTGCTGGGAAATTGTGAAAAACATCTTGAGTTTGTTCTTCACACAAATTATTTTTACTTTTTATATGAATACTATATGAATAATGACAAAATCATCCAGGTCTAAAAGAATTTGATTAAGTTGTGATGTTGCTAAACTGTTATTGGGAACCTGGAAAGTACATAAATTATAAACTATGACATATAAATGATATTAGAAACCATTTAGAGATAGGTTTTGGGAGTAACGATTTAGATGAATTTGTTGGTTTCATTGCTGCCGCTAGTTTTAATCCAGTAGCACGTGGAATTTGAACGCTGTTGCTGTAATGTTTTATGTTTCTCTTTATATCATTGACGTGAAGAATGCTAATTCTGGGTTTGCATCATCATATGGTTGTTTTTGTTTGAATAGTGTCTTTTCTCTATTCCAAAAGGTACATCTGATGTGCATTAACTTTTGATAGAAGTGCAAATAATTACCAAAAATAGAAAAAATACATCCTAATAACTAACTGTTAATTTCCTAAAAACCTGGACTTGAGTGAAGAGGGACTCTGCCTGTATTACCGAAGTTTATGAGGCACTGGAGTAAAGATGAATCCATTGAATTTGAAGGAACAGTTACCAAATTTCAATTATTCCTTAGCCTTTGTTTATTTCATATAATTTTTTAGAAGAATTTGGCTTGTTTTTAGTCAACTCTCACTCCTTGAAGGTGGGTGGGCAGGCATTGTGTTATGTTCGAGGCCGTTTTTGATTATTTCTTTTAGGTTTGTATTTTGCTGGTAAATATTATATTTGATGGTTTGCATATTGGTTGATTTATTTATTGTTTTTGATTCTGTATTAGGATTACTAGTTGGGTTAGATGAGATTTCAAGAACCTGTCTGTTTCTTGGTATCAAGATAGTGTGCTACATAAGCTACGGTACTGGTGTTCAAAGGGTTTTCTTAAGTTTTATGGAATGATATGGTTTCCAAAGGATCCAAAATCCATCTTTGAGAAAGGATTTTTCTGTTGGAATTTATGAATCACGGTATGTGCTCTGTCCTTACTTTATGTGGACTTTCCCGTTCCACTTTTTATTCATTTTGCCTCTGTGTCACTTTTGTCATGAAAAAAATAACTGTGGTAATGGTGGTGTTGCTAGAATATGCTCGTTCTCACTGATGATTTTGCATTAGGTTAAATTGAATGCTGAGAAAGAAATCATTTTGTTGAACCAAAGTAATTAGGCTCCAAGCTTCCTGTATTTTAGAGACAAAGATACTTATATCATATTGTTTGCATGCTATGCATGGTAGTTTGCTTATTAATTATTATTATTATCATCATCATTATTACTATTATTATCAATTCTGCTTCTACTCCCCTTTCTTAGTTGTGATCTCTCTGGCTTCTATTTTTGGTTACCCAGATCATATGGAGATATCTTTGTTGAACACACTTCTCAGTAACATTTCCTCATTTTTAAATGTGTCATCCTCTGAGAACATTAACTCAGAACCAGTTCAGAAGTATTACCTGAGAGCAGAAGAGATACTAAAGTTGTTGAAGCCAATTTTTAGCGCAATTGTTGATTCAGAAATTACTTCCAATGAAGTGCTTGGTAAGGCATTTGAAGGATTAAGCCTCTCTATAGAAGAATTGAGGGAGCAAATCGAAAGCTGGCAACCCCTTTCGAGTAAAGTTTACTTTGTAAGTTACTAGTTCCTTTTTAAGTTCACAACTTCACTTGGCAATTTCAATCCACTTATGGCTGGAAGAGGTACCTAGTTAACCTTTTAGGCATTGGCATACCCCTGATATTGAGATGAATGTTGTAGATTATTGCTATAATTTTACAGTTAATTCTTGTGCAATAACTTGTAAGACATATTTCTGCCCCTATGGTCTATGGATGTGCGCATTTTCTTCTCATTTCTTATGGTTATTAGAACACTATCATGTTTTCCGTAAGAGTAATTGTTGGAATGTATCATATTTAGGTGGAAAAAATGCTATGGATGGTTGCCTTTTCAGAAAATAATATTATACTTAGAAGAATAGATTTTTCTTATTAGCTACTAGTCAATTAGTGTTGGCTTTTAATTAAATGCATTTGGATAATTCCTATTCCTATAAAAAAAAATGTGTTTGGATAACCATCCTCTATTCCACTTGATCTCTAGGTTCTGCAAGTTGAGTCATTAATATCAAAGATTCGGAATTCTAGCCTGGATGTATTCCATTTCTTGAAGTCTTCCTATCAGCACCTGCCTGATGAATTGAGTTCAGCATCTCTTGAGGTAATTTATGACCCAAGTTACTTGAGGTTTTTTGCTTTTATTTGAAGCTTTTACTCTTTGTATTGTGTTTTAAGTTTTATGAATGGAGCCTAATTATTGTATTCTCACAAATCACAATGATTACTAAAGAAGTCATCTATTGGAGAGTGAATGGCATGCAAATATACAGTTTTGAGATGTGAGGATATTTAGCTTTCATTTTGATTTGATTTCTGAGTTAGAAGAATGCTAAAGGGGAATCCACATTTCAGGATGTTTAACTATTGGCAATTGCTTGCAGCACTGCTTGCAGAAAATTAAGCATGTAGCTTATGACCAAGTATCATCTTTCATCAGGGAAGCCATACAGGATCAAGTGGATAGTGTTGGACCATCCACAGACATAATAGTGAAAATTGCAGAGAGCTCGGGCTTGAGGTCACACCAGGAGATTCTGATAGAAGCTGTGGCCCTTGAAAAGTTGAAGGAGAATGCTGAACAAGCTGATAAACTTGCAGAAGCTGAGTTCATTGATCAAATTATTGCTCTTGTAACCCGCATGCATGATCATCTTGGATTAATGAAACAATCTGAGACCAGTAGTCCGGTTCCCATACCTGTTGATTTCTGCTGCCCTCTTTCCCTAGAGCTAATGACTGACCCAGTGATTGTGGCATCTGGACAAACCTATGAGCGGGCTTTCATTAAGAACTGGATAGGTCTTGGGCTCACTGTGTGCCCCAAGACACGGCAAGCTTTGACTCATACCAATCTTATACCTAATTACACAGTAAAGGCACTAATTGCAAACTGGTGTGAGTCAAACAATGTGAAGTTGCCTAATCCCATGAAGTCCATCAGTTTAAACCAGTCCTATCCCCTTCTTGTGGCTGCAGAGTCTGGCTTGCCAAGGGATTCAAATAGTTTTACTCTTAGAAGCAGCCAACCATTATCACCTGAGCCAAGGTCTAGAGGTCAAGCTGGTAAGAAACTAGTAACATCCAGTGGAATTCATCGGGAGGGAACCTCCCCACTACGTCCTTGTTCTACTTCAGTGGGTTCCTTGCCAGGTATAGCTGGAAATGGAGAGGGTCTGGATGTTGCAAGGATATCAATAAATAGCGCTGAAGACAGTTCAAAGTTGGAACAAAGGTATAATGATTCTGTTGGTGAACCCCCTGTGTCACCTTCTAACAATGCTGGAGATTCATCTCAGAACCATTCAAGATCTGATTCAGCCTCTAGTGCACTTCCTAATTCAGATTCTCCTCGAGGATCGGTTGGAGATGCCAATGAGACTTCTGAAAGTCATTTCGCAGCCTACAATAGTGATGTTTCTGGGGAGGTTAAATCTGACCCACAACCTACAGTCAGCACAGCCGTCCCACAGAGAGAACCCGAATTTCATCCTCGATTGGTAGAAGCACGATCTCGAAGCCAAACAATCTGGCGTCGACCATCAGAGAGGTTTATTCCAAGGATAGTTTCTTCTGGTGTTGAGAACAGGGCTGACCTTTCTGGCATTGAAACCCATGTTAAGAAGTTGGTAGATGACTTGAAGAGCACTTCGGTTGATAATCAAAGAGAGGCCACAGCTCAACTCAGGTTACTTGCTAAGCACAATATGGATAATCGGATTATAATAGCAAATTGTGGGGTCATTACCTTGTTAGTTGATTTGCTTTGTTCACCAGATACAATGACTCAGGAAAATGCTGTTACAGCACTTCTTAACTTATCAATTAATGATAACAACAAAACAGCTATTGCTGATGCTAATGCAATTGAGCCTCTGATTCATGTCCTTGAGACAGGAAGCCCTGAAGCTAAAGAAAACTCAGCTGCTACTCTCTTCAGCCTTTCGGTCATTGAGGGTAACAAAGTCAAGATTGGAAGGTCTGGGGCAATCAAGCCTCTTGTTGATTTATTGGGGAACGGTACTCCTAGGGGAAAGAAAGACGCAGCTACTGCCTTGTTTAATCTGTCAATATTTCATGAAAACAAGGCCCGAATTGTGCAAGCTGGTGCCGTAAGACACCTTGTAGACTTGATGGACCCAGCAGCTGGAATGGTTGATAAGGCAGTTGCTGTTTTGGCTAACCTTGCTACAATTCCCGAAGGGAGGAATGCTATTGGGCAGGAGGGTGGGATTCCTGTGCTGGTCGAGGTTGTTGAATTGGGTTCAGCTAGAGGGAAGGAAAATGCAGCTGCTGCTCTTTTACAACTCTGCACAACCAGTGGTAGGTTCTGCAGTATGGTGCTCCAAGAAGGAGCTGTTCCACCACTAGTGGCCTTGTCCCAGTCCGGCACCCCAAGAGCTAGAGAGAAGGTATACTCCTGTTTTCTTTTTTCCAATAGAACCTTCTTTCTTTTACCTTTCTTGAAAATCATCATAAGCTGCTGTTGGTTGCAGTCTCAGGCACTTCTGACCTACTTTAGAAGCCAACGACATGGTAGTGCTGGCAGAGGCTAAAACTAGGAAAACAACTTTCACGGCACCCAAGGCATTGAGTCTGATACAGTTTGTATACATTTGATGTTTCAAATAGTGCATTTTGAAGGTTTTGCTGCAATGCTGCATGGTTTTACAATTTGCCTAGGAATAAAAAAGAAAATTTTCAATTTGTAGACGATTCGATGGAGTCCTCTTGTCCGAATGCTTCTTTTTATATGTGCAGTTGTGAATGTAAGAACGGAATTTCATACATGTGAGTCTTTCTGGTCTTCGTAGATAGCTCGGGGGTGAATTTATGAATCGGTGAATAATGTCCCTTGGCTTCTTCTTTTTTTTTTTGGACTCAACTGTTTTTCAGATTAAACTAGATATTCAGATTGATTTGTAAGCTATGCATTTACAGACAGCCAAACAAGAGCAGGCATATTAGGGTTCTATGTAGTTCCATGAGTTATTTGATTGTGCGTTATTTCATTTATCAATTTGTCAAAAACCCTTAATTCATGTTCTTTAGTTTGGTTGAATAGCAATCTGAATTTTAGTTACTGCTTGTTTCATTTTGGTTTCAGTTCTTTAAATTTTTTGAAATAGTTTTAATTGATGTATCCAACTCATTGATCATGCAGAGTCTTTCCAATTTCAATTTTCCAACTCCAGTCCACTGCACTGTCATGGATTTAAGTTCCTTGCTTTAATACAATTAATTGTATAAAATAACATCAGCAGGTCTAATATTTGAATTCCATCATCTAACCCTCTTCCGTACATATGCTCAGATATTTCTAGAAAGAAAAACATAAGAGAATAAAGTCTAAACTGAACATGTTTTCTCTCCCTTGACATATTTTTGTCTCTCAAACAGAATGTTTGAAGCTGTCAGGTAACCTTAAATCTCATGTTTTTTGCTGCAGGGAAGAGATATCATTGTGAATTAAACTCAACATTGCAATTTCAACTTTTCATTCCAAATGTGATGCTCCAAAACAAATTTATTTTTTAAAAGGTTGAAATTGAAATAAATTAAATCAAACTCCAGAATATAGAATAAAATATACACCGATATTGGATGCCAAGATCATTTTTTTTAACAATGTCCTTGGCCCTTGAGGTTTTAAGCCCCACTAGAACATGAAATCTAATCCCTTTCTTGTCTTCCAAAACAGTAGTAATGAAAGTGAGAGTGCATAAATAGTAGCTTGGTCAGTGGCCAACCTGAATAGTCCTCTATGTTTCACTCTCACACAGCAACACCCTGATTTCTTCACCTGCACTGGTCGTTGCCCAATTGTTTCTTCTTTGCTCCTTTTGCAGTACCTTTTACTTCTTTATATTCCATTTGTCTCCCCTTTCCCTCTCAACAATTCAGTATTAAACCTTGCTCTTCCTATATAAAACCCCCATATTCATCACCCTTTGTTACTTCCCAGCCAAAACCAAACAGAGTTTCAACTTTGAATTAAGAAAAAAGTTCAAGTTTATATGAAATTTTCTGGGTTCCAATCCATGGAGAGTGCTGCAATTAACTGTGATGAACAACAAAAATGGGAAGCTGGGGAAGAAGAAGAAGAAGCATTGTCATTGTGTGATCTACCACTCAATTTGGTTAAAGAAGAGAATAAAATCCAACCAAGGAATGAAGAAGATGGCGAATCCCAAGCCATTAAAACCCAAGATGATTTCAACTTTGGCTCATGTGGTGACTTTTTGTCCACAAAACCAGAAATGTGTGCAGCTGATGACGTGTTCTTGAAAGGCCAAATTTTACCCTTTCGTGTCTCTGTTAGTTCAGACCGTGGCTCAACAAGGTGCCTTCTTCAAGATAGCCAGAAAACGAGTCGGTTCTTGCCAAGGTCCGAGTCCATGGACTATGGTTCGTTAAGTAGGTTCACAAGTGCCACTAGCAGTAGCAGAAGCAGCAGCACCGGAAGTAGCCATTACTCAACGAATAGTAGCAGTAATTCCAGCAAGGTTACAGCAAGGGATTTCAATTCAATTACAACTCCTAAATCAGAGCCGAACGAAACCAGAAACAACTTCAACACACATCCAAGTCCAAAACCACAGATAAGGTTGTCTAAAACTCGACCAGTAAACGTCAGCAGCCGAAACCAGACATCATCAATGTGGGATTTTTTTAGGCTGGGCTTGGTTCGAGCACCAGAACTTGAACTGGACTATATGAAAATCCGTAACAACAATTCGAATCGAAATTCTGTCAGCCGAACCAGCAGTTGCAATAGCAGTAACATTAATCAGCTAGATTCGATCAAAGGGTTGTTAAGAAAAGGGTTGTTCGGTGGATGTAAATGTTCAGTTAATGTAGTCGAAACAGTTCTACTGAACAAAATAGTGGTCATCAAAAATATGATGAAGAAGAACAGTGAAAAAGAGAGAACAATGTTGCATGCCGCCATGGAAGAGAAAACGAAGCTGCTGCAGCATGAACGGAAGATAAAGAAGAAAATGAAAGAAAAGCCAGAAGGAAAGCAAACTTTATCACGTCATCGAACGTATGAATGGTTAAAGGAGCTTTGACATGCAAGCTTTGTTGATGAGGCTTAAATAAAGAAAGAAAAGAAGGGCTCATGAACAAAATATCACGCATGCTTCTCTTTTTCTTTTCTGTCATTATTTTTCAACTTTTCTTTTTCCTTTTGGATTATATTTTTGTTTTTTTTCCATATAGTTCAAAGTGCAGGTGGTTGTACCTATAAAATCTGTCTCATGAGGTTTATTATATTATTAATGAAGTCTTTTTAATGAAAAAAATATGAATTATGGGTTGTCATGTTAAAGATAATGATTGGAAAATACTAGTAGAGTCGATATGGGTGGAGGAAGATGAAGAGGGTGACGTGGTAGTGATGGAACATGATTAAAGTGTCGACTTTTAACCAGACATGAAAACGGCAATTCGTGACTGTCACTAAAGCACACAACGATATAGTAATTCAATATATAGTTTAAATAAAAAGAAGTAATAAAGGAGAGACACAAATGAAAATATTGGAAAGGAGGAATGTTAATTAATGTCAAGTAACATAAAGTAGTGTTTATTTTTTAAATTCAACGCATTTGGAGAATTATTATATCTTTCAATTCCAAATCCCATGTCTTGTTTTTGATGATTTCGCGATTACACAGGGAAAAGCAATGATAGATTTTGTCTCTGTTGCATAGCTTGATAATCAAAGTTCGATTAAATCTTTGGAGAATTTTTTCTTTTATTCGGCGATTTGCACTCTATTTTATTTCCATTCCAGCAGCTTACAATTGACACATGTGGGCCTCTGATAATTAGGACTAAAAGTATTTGGAGTGGTTACTACTACTTCAGCGTTTGCTTTTCATGAAAAATTCACATCCCACGCATGTGAGTGTTCATCTCCATTAATCATATTTTCAATTATTTTAGTTTTTTGTTTTGTCTTATTATTCTTTTATAAAAGAAATCTTCTTTAATATTAAGTAATAGAAATCCCATCAATCAAGTTCCCTAGAATGATTAAGAAATGGCCATGACTGAAACATTCTGAAGCACAACAGCAACAAAAAGAAGACGATCCTACCAGATAAATTCTTAATACAATCGGGAAAGGGTCCATGTTCCAGCAGCAAGCACAAATATTAGAGAGGTTCTTGCAAGGTGAGAAATAGAATGTAATTTAATGTGGGTGTGATTCCAAGGGTCCGAACAACATAGACTGATCTTTTGGACTTACTCTTCAAGGATTGAAGCTTGCGCAGCTGATGTTGGAGCTCCAAGAACCGTGAATGATATTTTAGCCCAAGAGTTTCTGTTCAAAAGGAACCTCGATCTCCATACCAGGTTCCCCGCCCCGGCCCTGAAAGCCGCAGCTCATACGTAATAACTTCTACAGAAATATATTTTTAGAGTAGACACGAACATTGATAGTATAACTTTTATATAGATATATATATAAATAAAAATTTAAAACGTATCCAAATAATAAATCAAGTAATTATCCAAAAAAATATTAAATTTTATGATAAACACGTCTGTTTTATTAAATAATGCATCTTTTTAATGCCCTGAGTGAAACCCCAGGAGGCAGCTTCGTTCCTCCATGACACTTGGCTAAGCCAGAACCATATTTGCGCCGGAGTAGGGATATTTAGAGAACATTAAACATTTCATTTCTCAACTAAGTTGGGTCTAGGGGAGGCAAAAGAAGAGCTAGCAACAATTGATAATCGACTTGGTTTAAAGATGGCTTATTTTTACATGATTTGCTTGGAGCAGGAACAACCAGATAATTACTTGGTTGTTTCTTGGATGGGTTCTTAACAATTGGACTCGTATCCAAAACTCATTCAATTCCGTATAACATAACAGAATCAGTAATCACATTTTCAGTTCTACAAAAAGAACCTGTCGGCCATCAACACAAGGCAAGAGATCTATTCTCCTTATTCTAAACAAACAGATAAAATCCAGTCTCAGACTAGTTATGATTCTCTCGATGAATATTTCAAGCCCCAGGCTTTTGCAGCTCTATTAATATAGATTCCTATATAAAATAGCAACTTTCTTAACAATCAGAAGTCAACTGCTGCACTATTTCACCTTTAAACCTGCGGCATCCTCCTAGCGAACTTGCAGAGCAGAACCATGTATTTTGTATTTTATTGGATAAAACTTGCAATGCTATTCAAGGGCCATTGTTAGCAGCTGACATCTCTTCGCTTGCATTTCTCAGGTCGACATCTTGGGGAGGTTATCACAATAACTTAGTTAATCCTTGCAACTTGGAATTAAGTATCATACAAGTAGTAATTTGAAGGTCGATGGTAATTCTTGTTTAATCCTTCGGTTCAATCAGTGATTAATGACCGACTCCAGGAAAACCATCGATGCTGTCAAAAAATGGGAAATGAACGAATCATAATTTGCGCCTGTTTTGATAAGGTTGCTTTCCGCACCGCTTCAAAACATACATGCAACCTGCCGCTATGAATAATCCAACCGCAGCTAAGGCTATCATTGTTGAGTTCTCGATGGTCCTATAATATCCTCTCTGCAACATGAAGAAGCTAGCCAGTAAGCTCATCAGAAAAAAAAAGTATCATATATCATACTCCAAAGTTTCCCACAAGATTTATTGAGGAGATGCTCGAGATCGCTTTCCTACCCTCAAGTGCTCTGAGCTAGGGGCAAGCACAGGCACCAAGGAAAACACAATGCCTAAAGTCATTCTTATCCAATTTATAACAGCAGCAGATGAAAGCAGGCTGCACAGGTAGGTGTATTTCGTTTTGTATAACCATTTCCCAACTGAACCCCCACCCCAAACCCGAAAAAAAAAACGTGCATGCAGATGGGTGTGGAAGCATAAATTAGTCAGGGACACACCTGCATTAGAAGAAACAAAATTGCTGCATTTGCAGGAGCCATTGAAAGGCTTATCATTCCTCCACGCAACTCATTTGGCACATACCTACATAAACATTATCAAGCAGACTATTTAAACTAATTTCTACAAATAAAAGGCACTAAGCAAGAAGAAGTTACTTTTCAAACTTCATAAAAGAAAAATGTTTGTCATACATTGTCCTCAATCTTGCAAGTGAAGGCAGAATTAGGCCAATGCAGGCATGGAATAAAGAAAACTGTGTCACCAGAACTCCAATGTCCTGCAATCCAGACCACAGAACTCTGAGGCAATGGCTGGAATAAACACTAAGGGCCCAAATTTATAAATTTACAAATAATTATAGAGGGGCAGCAGAAACATACCTGATAATCATAAGCTATAATTGACAAAAGAAAAGCCTGCGTGACAAATGCGTACGTTAACCAATCCTCGGTCTGAAATGAAGCATCAATAAGCCAGGGAAACACCGTGCTTCCTAACATCCTTGCCCCCAGCATGCATGGATATATCAGCCCTAGATACACTTCTCGACCATCAGCCTATCCCACATATAAAAATCACCTTCAAACATTATACTTCAAAGAAATCAAGCTTCCAAGATGATAATTTGGAAACCTAATGGGAAGAAACACAAAAACTGAGCACTAATCACACATTGTGAACAACAGATACGATCTTACCACCAGTGTTGGGGCCCAAAGAATCCAGAAAACTGCAATAGAAAAATGAAGGCAGGCTTGTGCACATGCTAGTAGCAATATCCTTCTATCTGCATAAGACAAGCTCTTAATAACAATTTTTTCTTTTATGGTAAGAGATGAAAACTAAGACTCAAAGGCAGGATTTTCTGAAACCCAATAATCAATAATGTAGCACTCATATTAGTCAAGACAAATAAAAGGAACTTAAAAAGGAGAGGAAGCTTATAAAAAAATCCAATCTACCTTAAATGAATAAATGATTACATGTATTTGATCATGTGACATACATCTATACTCATAACTTTAAGTCATAGTCACATGGATCGCGGTATACTCCGGTATGGGAACGTGGAACGGGATCGCAATTCGCTAGGTCCCTAAAATTCGGTACGAGGGGGGTAGACTCATTTCGGATCGCTCCGGTACGATGTATAGGTTGCTATTTTTCTACATCAAATTTTATAAGTAACTTCAAGACTTCAAATATCTTAGAGTAACTTCAATACTATAGATTTCATTCAGTAACTTCAATACTTCAAAGTTGAAGGACTAAATTTATAATTAAACCAATATCTTAAACAGTAAAAATACAACAGTAAAAAGAGTTGGTCTTTGCTTGGGTTTTTGAAATATTAACTTTACTTTTTTTCTTCTCACACTTCAACGCTTCCTCTTCTTCCTTTCTTTTCCTTCTCTAAAATGGCAGTCCATCTTCCTTTCTTTTCCTTTACCAAATTACTTATCAAAAAAACTGTCGACTCCACCGCCGACTGACAAGATCGGCCCTTCCATCGTCTTCGTTACCGCCCCTTCTCCTACTGAATCCTTACCCTTATATTTGCTTCTTTGTTTTTTTTGTGATGGGCTTTTGTTTCCTTTGCTTCTGCTGTGAGGGTTTTTGTTTTATTTGGTTTGTTGTGGTGGGTTTCTTCTTTCTTTGGTTTGCTTTCATGGGGTTTATGCTTCTATTATTTTCGCTATGGGTTTTTGGTACACTAATTTCACCGTTCCGGTACGCGAACGAACCGCGAATTGGAACAAACGAACTGAAACGAGATTCGTGAGGTGGAACGCGTTCGTACCGCATTTTGGATCGCAACGTACAGTACGTAGATCGTGGGCTATTGAGCGATTTATGTAACTATGCTTTAAGTGCTCAGTTACAAATAGGCTAATATCAAAGAGATGTTATAATTGTCATTTTTAGAAAGTTACACCCCTATGAGTTTGCTTCCATGAATAAGACAAGAAAATTAATAAAACTACAAAATGCTTACCACCGAGGATAAATGCATAAAAGGACATCCGGTAATCCTTAAATGTCATTGTCTTTGGAGTTCCATCATGATCTCTGTACATACAGATGATGCCCACTATTGCCAGTAAGGTGGCTGCAATGGAAGGAGATCCAATCCCTTTCTCCAAATTACCACCCACCATCCAATTACCAATCGCCTGACTTCCAATTAAAGATGCAGACTCGAAAAAAATCATCAACCAAAATGTTTCGTTCAAAACATCTTGCCTATGACCCGGCTGCAAAGAAGAAAAGAAAATGTCCATACCGTCATGTTCAAACTTCTCATTTTTCTCTTAGTAACTAAAGAAACATAGAAAGAAAGAAACGAATCTTTGAGCCAACCTTGTCATGTTCAACAACAGCCCATGTCTCGAAACTGAAGGCAAATATTGATGTTGCCAAAGAAAAACATACATTTGCTATACAAAAGCTAGGACTTGATGCAATCATCTTCCATATCCCAACAATAAGGTGCAAGATAAAAAACACCAAACACATTTTCTTTCGACCTCTGCATAAATATATATTAAATAAAACTATCAAAGTTTTCATAATTTATGCAACCCTTAATTAATCCATAAAAACAATGGTTAATTCATTCAAAAAAGCACTAAAGCTATTAAATAAACATGGAAATGTTTAGTTTTCACTCACATTAAATCAGATATAAGACCAAAGAAACTACCAACGAAAAGAGCAACTCCAAATCCAATAAGCAAAAACGTCACCGTATCTTCCTTGCCTATTCCATGGTAAAGCAGCTCAAACTCTCCGTACACCGACCATAATCCTTCCAACACTAGAAAAACGAAGGCGTAGAAATCAGACCAACTATATATATATATATTGCTTTGAATTAAGCGATCACGGGTTAAAAAAAACAAAGTTTGAATTTTTTTTATATATATAATGTACCTGAAGCGAGGGAATAGAGAAAGAGAAAGTGAATTGGAAAGCGAAGAGAAGGGGAGGAGGAGGATGGGTGATCGGAGAAAGGAGGAGACTTGGTCGGAGCGTGTTTCGAGATATAGAAAGGGAAGAGAGAAAGTGAGAGGAAACAAGAAATGAAAATGAAAATGAACACGGAGGAACTTGGTTCCCAAACGAAGGTCTCGATTACTATCCCCATTCAATCTCAGACGGGAAAACCCTAGATCGGATAGGGAATTAGGATTTGGGAGGAGATGGGGAGTTAACAGTTACGCATCTGAGGCAACTTTGAAGTGAGAAGAAACCCGAGGAAGAAGTGGAATTCGTTACACGCGGCGTTTTACTGTTCCAACTGAAACGGTGCGTTCTAATTAACGTTTTTTTTTTTAAGTGAACAACTTTTAAACCAAAGACTTAGTTCTTCCAGTTACATGTTATTTACTTCTGGGTTTTTCATATTTATTTTAAATTTTATTTTAATAAAAATAAATTTATTTTATACTTTTTGAATATTAATTTATAACTTTTTAAATTTATTTTTATAATTAATTTTTTATTTAAGTTAAGGTGATTATAAAGCAATATATGTTCTAAATACTCTATACTCAATCACTCATGCTGGGGTTGTTGGCGCTCGAACTCGGAACCTCCAAAAATAACAAATATTTCTTTAATAACTAAAGTAATTTGATCCATGCTTTATAGTTAATTTAAAAATATTTAAATGACCATGTTCATAAATGTCAAATAATTTAACAAATATCATTAAAAATAAAGAGACGACATAAATACGCTATTAAATTTTTTTAAAAATATTAATCAAACATGAATATCTTAAAAAAATAAATAAACACAAATACAACTTTATTTATTCAAACTCAATTTATTTACATTACTAGAAGTGGATTTAAATCATAATCAAACAATTACGTTGCAAACTTTGTTTTTCAATATTTTCAGATCTCGAAAATGTTTTTAGGTCACATAATTTAATTTTCAAAAACTTCAATTTTCAATCATATAAGGTTTTTTTTTTCAATTTAGCCTTTGTTTTTCTTAAATCAAAGGAACCTTGAAATTTTCAAGTAAATTAAAACAATCAATAATTATTATACATTATTTTCAGGCTATTTCCCCAATTTAAAACATAAAATATTTTATTTTATATAATAAGAAACAAAATAACAAATAAATAAATAAAAATAATTTTCGGTACAATTAGAATAATTGCAATTCTTAAATTTGATTTTCAATTTCTGTTTCTTTTTTCAATAAAACTATGTATGTCCATGTTTTCGCAAAAAAAAAAAAAAAAAAAATTGGAATAATATGGTAATACTTTTCTTACTTGGATTTAAGTGTGTCAAATACAGAGCTATATGTCTGTGAATTTTTGTAAAATAAAAAAAAAATCCTAAGTATTTGGGAGGTCTTTGAAAAGTTATATTCTTACACTGATGTTTATATATAACTAATATGGATATGAAACATGAATATTTCAAGAAAATAATTAAGAAAACAACTTCATAAAGAATCAATGGAAAAGGGGTTCACAATCCAAACTCAACCTAAAAGCTAAAAGCTGTACAAATGCAACGGCTTTATTGTTTACTATCAATGTAACATGTATGTATGTATATATATATGTGTGCATGCATGTATAACTAAGCAGAAGCTCCTCCTTATCCATGGTTGCTTGTAGCTATGACTGAGATGATCCAAGCTGGTTGATGAAGAACAAACCGGCAAAGGAAAAGAACAATCCTATTGCTTGCCTGTGATTACGGCACACTCGTCAGTGTTAAAAGGACCTGAATGATAGCAACCAGCAACTGCAGCTCAAACCACACAAACAAACCGCTATAATGGTTGCATGATCAGGAAGTACATTTGACAGTCATTCGGTTTACTCTACAGGTGCTTAATGAGTTGAGCAGCTTGTGAGCAACACAAACTCAACTTGGTAAAATCTCGATTCGAGTTGACTTGACTCGAATTTGAGACCTTAACAAGCTGAGTCAAGCAAAATCCAACCCAACTCGATATGTTTGCAAATATCTCGTTAATTTTTTTATTATATAATTTTTTAGTAATCTTAAAAAATTATTTCTTTTAAAAAATTATTAATTTACTAATATATAATAAAAAATGATAAATTACTAATCTATTAATTTTCTAATAAAAATTATTAATTAGTATTTTACTACACCCAAAAAATCAAACCATATTTACTATTTTAATGTTTTTGTAGACTATTACTTTAGAGTTTAGACTTTGAAATCGCTTTATACACTTTCATGATAATTTTTTGTTAAATTTATTAATTTATGTTTATATTAAGTTTTATATAGTATTAGTAGATTTTACCAATAGTTAAGAAAAGAAGGTAAAAATTTTGGTGAGCTCAACGAGCAACGAGGCAAGTAACGAGCATCAAGCTCAATGAGCAACGAGGCAAGTAACGAGCATCAAGCTTAATGAGCAACAAGTCGAGCAACAAGGTTTTTGAACAAGCAACGAGTCGAGTTGAGCAAAAAAAAATTTAATGAGCACAAGTCAAGCACTGCCGAACTCACAATCGACTTGCTCAATAAACACCCTTAATTTCCTCAAAATTTCCAAATTTGAGGCATTTTCGTAGCATAATTTGTAAAATTTTACAAGTTTAAAGCATACCACTATCAAATATGTCAGCATATTCGATATTATCAAAGCTTTAGATGTGTGTTTTTTGTGATATAACAGTTGAGATTAAAGGGAAAATTATCGAAGATCTGTAAAAGAGTTCTTCAATGTTCCATCGATAATATTACATTCCAGCTTTTAGTTCTACCCTGTGACTACAAGGGATGAGTCAACCTAACTAATCACCCTAAGTTGTTTCCTTGTGTACCACAAATTCGAAATTAAGATATATATGTATATCGAAACGAAGAACCATTCACTGAAATTCCTCTATACCTTAAAGCAGCTAGACTACAAGCAAATTGAAACTATGAACATACAAATCAAAACATCAATGTGCAATGGTAATACCTTATTCATGGAGTGTAGGAAGAAGACTTTATCCTGTCCGAGTTTTGAACATCAGCCGTCAACTCTTTAGAAGTCCTGTAGGAGTTGTCACAATTGAAAATAAGCCAAGCAGCAAAAGAGAACTCAAGGGACCATTTGGATTCAAACGGGCCTCAGTTCACTGAAGCTGAGGCACCGGTTTGCCCCAACTGTGCTGATATATTTGTTTGGAATACATGGAGACTAAGGATTCTTGTACCGAGTCAACCCTAGAATAGTTGGGTACTATTACCTGTAATCCACATGTGTAGGTTGGTTATCTGCCATTGATTTGACATCCGAAGGCTGCTCACTGAAGGTTTTGGCATCTTCACAATCCTGTTTACCATCCCTCTACAGCATCAAAATAAGCAAGGAACATGAACCGACAAGTCCGTGTTTCACTTTAAGTGATCAGAAAACCACAGGAGGTGGAAGAAAGCTTACACAAACATCATCTTGAACGACCCTAAGAAGGTCGCCTGAAACAAGGGTGATATACAGCTCCATGGCTGCCTTGGGACTCATGTTCCGGAATCTTTTCAATGCATTCCTGGAATGAATAATATTAATTTCGATAATAATCAAAGACGAGAAAATAAAGAGGATCTAAATTGAACCAACAAAGCAATTGGGAATCAGTTTCAACCCATTCTTTTCGGTGATTATTTTCTTCTTTTGTCCCAAATGTGTTGTGATATATATGTTTGGGATGTACTGAGTCAATCCTAGGTTAGAAGTACAAGTACTATTACCTGTAATCCACATCTATAGCTTGGTTATCTTCCATTGCTCCCCAGAGGTTTTGGCATCTGCGCAATCCTGTTTATCATCCCCCTGCAACATCAAAAAAAGCAAGGAACATGAATCAACAAGTCCATTTTCGCTTTAAGTGATCAGAAAACTACGGGATGTTGAAGCACGCTTACATGAATATCTTCTTGAACGAACCCAGGGATGCTACTTGAAACAAGGGTGATATACAGCTCCATGGCTGCTTCTGGACTCATGTTCCCAAGTCTTTTCCAGGCATTCCTGTTACAAAAAATATCAGTTTCGGTAATTATCAAAGGCAAGAAAAGGAAAGGATCTAAATTGAACCAACAAAGCAATTAGGAATATCATTTAATCAGTTTCAACCCATTCTTTTCAGTGATTATTTTCTCCTTTATAAATATGTTTTTTTATCTACTTGCTCATATTTTTGCTTTCACTCTTCATCAAGTCAATTCTATACATTGTTTGTCATCAAGTTTCTATCCATGGAGTTCTTAATCAGATAAAGAAACACATTACCATGTGGATCACACACGGATGAGAAACATCAGATCTAAAATGAGACAACACCCAGAAATTCAATACTAAAAATCAAGGTTTTCTTTGCCAAATTCAACACAAAATCTAAAAACCCAATTTCAGAGGGGAATTTTACCACTTTGCACGAGCAGAGAATTCCAATGTCATTGGCTGAGGCTCATAGCAAGGCCCTTCAGTGGCAATCTTGTGAAGTCCATACAACCACTTTTTCAAATCATCGCCAAGTTTGAAATCTTTATTAGCATTACTTTTACACTCCAAAAAACACACAGCTTTACCAAATTTTTTCTCCAATTCAGTTCTTTCAATTCCCTCCCAATCATCATCAGATAACCCCTCCATTAAGTAACCTTTTCCATTCTCCTTCTCACAATCCCAAACCTCAATCTCTTCTTCATCCTCGTTAGCTAATCCAATCTCAGTGGTTTCACTGACAAAATTCTCTTCTCCTTCGGTAGTTCCTTCTTTTACTTCTCTTGTTCCTTCACTACCATTCAAAGACTCTTCCCGTGTATCAATTTCTTCCATAGATTCACCAAAAGCATAAACTTTTACAGCTTCTGAATCAAACCCAATTCCGTTCTCACATTCAAAAACATGTTTTTCTGATTCAGCTGTGACTTCGACATACGATCTCGACAAAATTTCGAGATGCTGATCGATGGCAGACGAAAAAGAAAGAAGCTTGGCGAGAATGAAGGAAATAATAAAAGAAAAAGAAACAGTGAACAATAACTCAAGGAAAATCTCCATGGAGAAAGAGATTGAATTTGCTTTTGTTGGTTGAAAAATGGTATAAGAAATGATTTTGAGAAGCAGAGGAAGGTATATTCGGGAAAATTGAAAATTGTTCTTTTCGAAGGAGTTTAAATTTGATTTGGAATGCAATATTTGGTTTGAATTAGTAAATTTTTTTTACAAGTTTTATGGTTAAATTAGTATATGATGTCTTTAAACTTTAAAAATTAAATGAATTTTCCCAATTTATTTTACACTGAATATAATTTTTTATTTTTTTTGAAAAATCAGCCGTTAGATTTTATTAATATAAAACATCACACATTACAAAAACAAGGCATTAAAACAATCAGAAAAAAGTTCAAACGCAAAAATCAGAGAGGAAAAAATCGGGGAAACATAACAGAGGAGAAAAACATAGGGACCTTTGAAACTACCCACAAACAGGACACAAAACCTAGAAATGAAACGACGATGACTTCTTGCTCCATCATATCGGGGCATGCAACAACAAAAGCGAGAATGAGAGGGAGAGAAGGTATTCCAAAAGATTATGAAAACACCCTTCTCAAGAAAAAAAACTTTCAAACAAAATAAACTTCTTTAAGGTGGATCTAAATACCCACGAGTAGTTGTTGCTAAATCGGTGATAAATTCGGTTTAGCGCTACCGGAAATGTTGACTAATAATAATGTAGTAGGTCTAAGTCAAGAAGAAATATTAAAAAATTGTGCAACCGGCAAACTTAACTTGTCGGTTCGTGTCGATCCAAATTAAAAATGTGTCGATCCAAAACGATATAACAGGTAAAACTATGACAAAACCGGTATTGAAATGATAAAACCGGTAAAGCGCTACCGGATACATTTAAAGTGTCGGTACTTTAATATAAGGATCGACACTTCGTGAATTTAAAAGAGAAGCAGTTTTAAATCTTATAAAGTGTCGATACTTTTAAAAAATATATCGATCCAAAACGATATACCAGGTAAAAATATGATAAAACCGATATCAAAATGATAAAACTGGTAAAACGTTACCGGATATATTGAAAGTGTCAATACTTTATATAAGGATCGACACTTTGTGAATTTAAAAGAGAAGCAGTTTTAGCGCCTATAATGTGTCGATACTTTTAAAAAAATATCGATCCACAACGGTATAACAGGTAAAAATATGATAAAACCGGTATCAAAATGATAAAACCGGTAAAACGATATCGGATATATTGAAAGTGTCGATACTTTCGTAAGTACGTGTAATAAATTATCGACACTTTCAAAGAAATAGGTAATTATCCTTTCGAAAGTATCGACACCTGACATAAAAGTATCGACACTTTTGTATTTGTATCGATTAAATATAAATAACATATCCGATGAAAATATAGAGGCCATATCTAAATATCCTCTGAAAATCGATAGAACGGACGAGTTTTTGAAATCGAAGCGTAATTGTTGCTGCATTTCAGAAGGCGTTTCTAAAGCGATGTTTGTTTGTTTGTTGATGCAGTCGAATCGAAAAGTATGTTGTCAAAACCCTAGTTTTTTATTATTACAGTAATTGCGAATAGGGTTTTTATGTGTTGTTTGGGGTTTTGGAGTAAAGAAGCATTTGGGACCGATTGCAGGTAGAAAGTGATATTGAAGGTAAAATATAAATGTCGATACTTTTATTAAATATTATAAGTAGAAAATGATATTATAGGTTGTATAAATGTGCCGACACATTTTGTAGTGGCCATTCAAATTCTTTTGAAGAAAATCGTTTTACCACAAGAGTAGTTATCTATATTTGTATATTGAATAAAGTGTATGTAACAAAATAATTTGATTTGCGTAAACTGATATATGAAGGACAAATGGAGTCAATGGGTTGGAAAATTGTTAGTGGCGCAGATGACTTTGAAATTGAGGCCGAGACTCGAAAGCAACCAAAGGGTGGATATATGTACTTCTAGTAAGTATCAACGTCTTTTTGTTATTATTGTTGAAATGGTAATTGGATTAAAGTATCGATAAACTTTAAATTGATTACAAATTTTAAATGTTGACAGTATGGCCGAATGCAAAATGATGAAGGAAGATGGCACACAGAGCGGTTCGGTATGTAAAATGAAATTAACATTGAGTAGTATTTAGTGTTAATGTATTGATTAAGAAACGTTTATGTTTAATATTAGGTGACAAAAGATGTAAGGTCCAAATGAAATTCAATGAGTGATGCTGAAAAGGAACCTTACATCACACAATCAAGGAATGATAGTAAAGAATACAAAGAACGGAGGAAAGCACATGAAAATAAGGTATTCATTAAACTTGTAAATACGTTGATACAAAATATATAAGAACTATAACATTATATATTGTTAAAAAATGTAGGAAGTGTCGACAAGATGCAGCATTAAAAGGGTGAATTCATTAATTAAACACCTTAAGGAGAAGGGTCAGTTGAATGTGCTGGGAGAAATAGGTTTTGGATCGTTGGTAGGAGTAAGGGATCGACCTATTAGGAGGGAATTGTGTCGATCCTTGATGGCGCAATTTGATGTCAGACAATGTATTGCTAAGTATGGTGATTTTTCATTTCCTCTAGGGATCCCATGTGCTGCAGCCGTATTGGGGGTAGAAAATGAAGGCAAAAGTGTTGTAGAAGTCTGTAAGAGTAAGGACTGGAAAGCACTTGCCTCCAAATATGGTTTGAAGCAGAAGGTGACATATGCTGAAATTAAAGAGGAAATAAAAAGTGGATCTTACGTTGGGGATGAGCTGAAGGCCAGAGTTCTATTATACCTTGTCGGTATCTTTCTTTGTCCAACGGGTCATACGTCAACGAACAAGGAACATATGAAGCTCATTTGCGATGAAGGCTTGAAGGGTGAATTCAATTGGGCTGAATATATCTATTCGAGATTGATTGAATCAATAATCACCTTTAAAAAGGGCAGCCAGAGATACCTCAAAGGGTGCATAGCAATCTTAGAGGTAAATGAGTTGAAGAACTTTTTTGTGTTTTTTTATAAAAATATAAATTTTATTATAAATGCAGGTTGCACTGTTCGATTTTTGGTCGGGCTGTGAGGCAGTGCCGGCTTATGAAAGAACCGGAGTGGCACGCATCCGTGCATGGGGGAAGAAAGAGGTGGTTAGAGTAATGGTTTAGTTGAAGTTGGATAGAGCGAAGAAGCAAGAAAGGGTAATAAATGTAATTAAATAATATTAAGAATATAATCAATGTCTTAATATTGTAATTTAATTTTAAAGGTTATTGGCAAGGATGTAGAGGAGGCAGTGGAGGCAGAGGAGAAGAAATGAGAGATGGTTGTATTGGGGTATGACGGTGAGGGAAACATAGTAACTTCGACATTTTGATGTCTGAATTGGCTGATATCAAAAAAATCCAATATGATATCATGCAAAGATAATCAAGAGTCGAAGAGAAACTTGATAGAGTCGAAGAGAAACTTGAGAGAGTCGAAGATACACTTGAGAGGCATAAGGGGGTAGTGGAAGGAAAAATAGATGGAGTGGTGAAAGAAGTAGAGGTGTTGAGGGGTGAAGTGGTGAAAGAAGTTGGGGTGTTAAGGGGTGATATTAAGATGGTGACGGGTGAAAAATTTGAGGGAGTGGTGAAGGAGGTTGTGAAATTGAGGAGTGAACTTACGGGGGTGAAGGGGGTGGTTGATAAATACTTGGATGAAAGAGATCAATTGAAGGGTGAAATAAAAGAGATGAAGAGCTATGTAGAAAAAAAATACGATGAACTGAAAAAATATGAAGAAGAAAAGTGGGAGGAGGAAGAAGAGGAGATGGAAGAAATGAGGAGGAAGGAAGTCGATGTCATTTATACACCGGAGAGTGTTATAGCAGCAGATTTGGATTCGGAATGTCCTGCACCCCAGAAGAAGAAGCAGAAGGTAAGTTGAATAAAAGAAAACTTAATTTGATTTTTATTATGTTGTTGTGACAAAAATTTGTATGCAAAATTATAGGTTGAAAAAGCAGATATTCCAAGCGGAATTGATGACATCGAAGCTGCAATTTGTGATTATTTATAGAATAGTGAGTTAGAATCAGAGTAAGTGAAATATATTGCTTTGTGAGCTATATTTAAATATTTCATGACAACATATTAATCCTAATGATTCATACAGATATTCTGTAATCTCAATGGGAAATCAATTCACTAGTGTATACGACGTTGCAACGTTGAAGCCTACGGAATGGGTTGGCGGTGTGGTAAGTAGAAACTTGAAAATGTTAAAACTTATTGAATATGTTCTGATTGTGTAATTAATTTTGTTAGGTTATTGATTTGCTCGCCTGGACAGTATGTTACGATTCTTAGAAGTCACTCCGGAGGATTGGCTACCTTCCATACCACTTAGCGGTGAGTTAAATTAATAAATGGAGATCAGTAGTGTTATAGACGGTAAATTAATAATGTTTGTTGCGTAATTGCAACAGCAGGCGTTGGATGCCAACATCAAAGAAAGTGTTGAGAGTATTGCTACCTTCTGGGGTCCCATATTGAATATCTATGTGAAATTCACCGACTGTGAGAAGGTAAGACATCATACCAATTGCAAATGATGTTTTCGGATATAGAATGTTGAATTTTGTCAAATTGGGTGTGAAATTTGTTGCAGATCATGATCACAATAAACTACCATAATTCATATTGGTATCTGTTGGTGTTGGATATGGTAGATCGTGTTGCAACAATATATGATAGTATGTTTACAACTGAAGCAGCTAAACAGAGAGTGAAGGATGCTAAGAGATTGGTATGTATGTATGTATGAAAGGACATGTTGAGTTAATCGATCGACGGAATCGGCCAAGAGGGGGGTGAATTGGCAATTAAAAATTTCGTGGAAGCTTCTGCAGAAAAATTGAAAGTAATTGCACAGCGATTTACAGTGGTTCGACTTTCTCAAACAAAGTCTACGTCCACTACCTTAGCTATCCACACTAAGGATTTTCCAACAAATTCACTAATTTGTTCTTTCTTTTGAGGCCAAAGAGATAACCTTACAAAATCCCTCAAGAGTATACC